GAAAACGGACAGTAAAAACTGAGCACCTTTTTGCAAATTCAGAAATGCTTATTTAAAACCCATTTGATTTTAATTTATGCTCCCAGTGTTTTCAACATTTTTGACATCTTCAGCATTAAATCAGAGGCTGAACATTGTAATTTTTCCTGTTTTCCCAGTGAGGACTCAGTTGCTGATTAATGTCTTTGGCAGTGAGTGGGCAAAAATTAATGCATTAACAACCTAACAATGAAATCAAACTGAATTAGAATAGCATTATCTAAAATAAATTTTATTTTGTTAGTACTATGTAATGTTCTTTTAACTGATGATAATGATTAATTTCTACTTAGATGATTAATTTCTACTTTGATGAAACTAATCAGGGAATTGCTGGATAGATGCTCCGTTAAATTACTCCTATATTCAACTGGGAGTCTTTAATCTGTTGCTCTGTGTGCTTATTTGTCATTGAATTTGTAGGGGGATGCGCAGGTTCTTCTTTCATTTACATAAATAGGAACTAGAACATCTTCATTGGTTATCAGTAGAGTTTCATTGTTTTGAACCAGGGAAAATGAAACAACAGACCCTATCTTTAGTTTTCTTTCAAGAGATACCTTCGATCTAAAAATCAGCTCATGAACCTTTCCCTCCCCCCCCCTTTTTTTTTTCTTTCTAATTTTAGTTAAGGGTATTTGCAAATTATGTTGTAATGATTGCTTAAAAGTGGGGGTGGGCTGATGGCTTATTTTTACATTTTCTCTGTTACACCAAAGAAACGGATGCTGCACTACTTTTTCTTGTCCACCCACGAGAATCAGGCTGATCATTAAAATATTATTAATGAAGAAAAATAACAAATGTGTTGACAATCAAAATAACACAGTTTCAGGAAGCTAATATTAATGGAAATGTTTTTGTTGCAACTTTGCAATCCAAAGCAAGAATTTGTCAGGCCAGTTACAATTCAAACGAGAAAAGCAACTGAGCTTTTTGTGAGTATTTAGCATAAATGACAGCTGGGTCCCCAATATGTGAGAACTTCTATTGCTGTTAAATTAAGAACTGACAATTTGCCTAGGAAAGAGTTCCACTGTGGGAGGTGAAGAGGAAAAGCATTAGAAGGTTTTTCTAACTCCTGTGAAACATGTTTTGCCAGTAATAGAAACCTAGAAGCAATTTTGGTTTTACTATATGGAATTCTCTCCAAATAGCACCATCACCTTAAAAATGTAACATTAAAAATTGCCTGCTACTGAAATTCAAGTATCTCCCTAGAATATTTTACAAAAAAAGTAAAAATGGTTTAATTCTTGAGCCAGTTGTAGCATTGTTCTACCTCTTCAATCCTAAAACAGCATGCAAAAAAATGAAGATGGATTGCCCACACTGTGAAGATGGCATAAGATTATTTGGCATGGGGAAAAAAACTGTTGTCGATGGAAGGAAGACAGGGACACTCAATATGAGTGATCAGCAAGCTTCATTTTATTGCCCGAATAGCATAACTTTTATAGTGAACTTAGCAGGGGCGGACAGTGTTTCACACAAGATTATTGTTCAAAAGCACTCAGACAAACAACTACAAGAAAACAACCCCACCTGCAAGAAAACAACCCCTTGTGATTAGCAGTCACGTAGACCTTGTCCTTGAAGCCAGCTACTGGTAACAATATTTTTCTGAATTCCTCAATTGGGCGATGCGGGAACACTGTCATGGGAACTTCTCATAGTTGCCCTGGTAGCTTGGTTTGCTCAGCTACAGCAAGCCATGGGATTTTTGCTGTTTCAAAAAATCCCTCAACAAAAAACAAATCATTATTGGAGTCCATCTTCAGTATTTTTCACTTATAAATGAAAACAAAGCTAAACAAAAACACTCCAGGTTTTGATAATAAAATGTTTGATTTCAACCTTAAATCCACAGTCTGTACCCTGATAAACCAGTGGTAGGAACAACAAGTGGATGCATGGAAAAATCTCAAATGCCCAGTAGTGGGGTGGAAAGATTTTAACAAGGCTAGTAATTTGACCACGTTAGGGCTGGAGCTTCCTTATGGTTAATTGCATTGCAATTTTGTGTAAGCTGTCTCCTCCTCATATTTTGGTCAGCCTCAAGGAAGGAGTGAGCTGGATGCTCATGGGAAGTCACAGAGGAAGCCCACAGCACTTTGGCTTTGAAGAGTCTATAAATGTCTTTATCTGTGCTGTCTGCCCTATGAGCATCCTTTTAAATATTAAGCGTTCCTGCTGCTTGGAGGCATTTCAGCTGCTTTTACCCTAATGAAGAACAATTGCTTAGCATGATCTGGGAGAAATTCATATTTTTTATTTTGCACATGACTGTTCTTCAATATTTTTCAAACCAATGTTTAACACTAGTAGTAGGGTGATGGTTGAACCAGGTGATTTTGAAATTCTTTTGAACCTTAATGATTCTGTGATACAGAGGGGAGTGTGCCATCTGCACTACCATCCTGCAGTGCTTTGAGCATGCTGCTTCTAACTGGATTAAAAAATGGTGATTCCTAACAGTTTCCAACCCAGGAGTTGGTTTCTTCTTATTTGCCTTTTGCAGATAGACAACAAAGCCATATGTTTTGCACTTGCGTATAGGCAACACTTAAGTCTTGTATGATTTGTGTATGACCAGACAGTTTGTTTCTATAAATGGGCTCAGAACAGAGATCCTGAGTCTGCAGTCTGAGCAATAATACAGTTTGTAATTTGAATGCCTGAAGAACATTCAATGTGCAAAATAAAAAAATACAAGTTTCTTCCAGAGCATGCTAAGCAATTGTTCTTCATTAGGGTAAAAGCAGTTCAATTGCCTCCAAGCAGCGGGGACACAATTTTATGCCAGGTTAGGCCACAGGTGATTTTTGTTTGTTTGTGTGTTTTTCTGCCCCTTCTGCTTTCCTTTAGCTCCCTCAAGTCATCCTGGCAGGCCTGATTTTGCTTTTTTCTGTTGGGCTCTCCTAAGGGCAAGAGTTTCAAAGCTTCATGTGCTTTTGGAAATGAAAGTATATATGAAAATGAAAATATATATGCAAATGACAGCTAGCATTATCATCTCTAAGCGTAACAGGATATAAGCATCCCTTGAAGGACAGCAATTCATCTCAAGCAATATCAAAGGCTGTTTGCAACTCAGGATTCTGAAGCATTTAGTAATTCCTAAATGTTTATTTTGGGGATATAAAGACATTCAACATTTACTGAAGCCACAGAAGTTATGTGACAAGAGTGTTCACAGCTCTTAAGTTAATGGCTTCTGCCTTTGTCTGTGATTTGTCATAGCCTTGCCTTTGCATAGTTAGCTGTCTTGGAAAGAGCTCTGACATACCTTGAATAAGAAAGGTACTGTTATGTATAAAAACTTAACCCCCAACACAGCATATGAGCACTCATTTGGTCAGGGTCACCCCAGCAATGAGAAGTCCTTTGAATTTCAGCATACACTCCTTGTTCGCTTACTGGGTAAATTCAAAAATGTTCTTGGTAAGACAGATGTGGGGTCAGAATGCAGCTGCATACTGAGTATTGCTCTGCTGTGCTATCCCTGGGTTCTCAACAGTGGCTGGGCCTCAGGAAACTACAATTGATTTTTCTGTTGTAGCATATGTTAAACCAGAGTTAGGATATGCAGAACGCTTAGATTTATTTTGTTAGAAAGCAGGTTGTAGCTTCATACTAGCTGAAAGGAATCTGATTTGCTGAGAAAAGTTGATGAAACAAATACATCTAAGAAAGAAAATAAATGACAGTAGAAAAAGTCCTAACAAATACAGTCTGTGCTATAATGCTGGGTCTGTTTTCTAGACCATGTACACTGTTATAATGCCTGGTGAATACATTATGCAGTGTTAGATATTGCTCTGTACATTTAAGTGACAATAAGTACTGCTACCGTTCCAGCTTGTCCTCCAGGACAGAATAATTGTTTTGCCGTGCTGCATCCTGTCACTGTCGCATTTGCATTCTCAGAGACCCAGGCAGTAACTTCTGTCTGTGCTGCAAAGTCAGGTTTTGACAGGTTTGATAAATAAAAAATCCCTGCACAATATTTTGCATGAGGAGAATATTAACTGTTGTATTGTGGACAAATCCCATTCTTATAACTATATCATGCTACTTTAAATTCCCACACTGTTCCCCCCCACCTTTAAAAAAAAAAAAAGTATTTGCTGGGTTGCACTGTGATGTATTTACTGGGCTGCACTGATGTACTGTGTGCTGTTTAAATGACTATCCCAACCCCACTAAAGGTGAATGACTTGAAGCTGACGTATAGTTAAGATCCTCTGAAATGAAGGATATACAAATCTCATTTACCACTGTATTTGATACATAAGATAGCACAACAACTTGACCTTGCAATTTAATGCCCGTCTAACCTGCTACAAGAGCTCCTTAGTTAAAATGATTCCTTTCTAATTTTAATTTATGCTTTGTTTAAGAAGCTGCTGTCAAAGCTCTAAATATCTTTGCCTAACGCTTCAGAGTGACCAGTCCCAGTGACAGAATGATGGAGGGATACCAGGCGACTCCTGAGGCCCAGTGCCCTCCTGTAATCCTGTAATCCTGTAATGTTGTTCCTCCTTCCTTCCTTTATTCTCCAGAGCTGTCTTTTGTGTATGAGCTCCGGAATGTCACTTTCATGTTGTTTTTTCCCTGGTAATATTTTTCCCCGTGTGTCTTTGCAGCAAGGCTAGAAGACATAGTTGGACTGCCGTCGTCATTATGTGCATCATGACTTTATAACTATGCAGTTTTGCTTATGCAGAAATGTTACAATCCTTTGTGTCATGTTTGTTGCATTCTGGTTTGGGGAGTGGGGATAAGAACTGTCCTGTGTCTATTTACCACCTAATTTTAGGACTTTTTTCCTAGCTCCTAATTCTGCCTTTTCTTTCTTCATTTTGAGCCCTGCCAGCTCCCTGGGTTCTCCAGGAGTGGCTGCTACAAAGACGTATGTATTCTCCTCAGTAAAACTGGTCCTTGTTTTGTGTTGCTAGGCTACACCCTTCCAGCTGCCACTGAAGAAATGCTCTGTGGTGGGAAACGGTGGGATTCTCAAAAAGAGCGGCTGCGGCAAACAAATAGATCAAGCAGATTTTGTCATGCGGTAAGACAGAAACCTCAATGACAAATTGTCTCCCCTTCCCCCCGCTCAATCTCTGACTTTTCAAAGCTATTCAGTTGTGATTAATCAGTTATAATTTGCCTTGGGTACTTTCTTTCTTCCCTTTGCAGGATGCTTTACACAAGTGATTGGGGAGTGAGGAGAGGCAATAGAGAGTTTTGGCTGGCTTCTGCAGATACATGTGTACTGTGGGGGTAGTGTGCAGATGGATGCATTGAGGTTGTGACGGCCTCTACAATGTCATAGACAGGGACTTAAGAGCTGCTTTTCTTTTTAATTATGCCATATTAGACAGGGTCTCATCCTGTACTGTGCTTCATCCTCCACAACTCTAAATGCCATCATATGAAACCCACTGAATTAATGATGAGTAGATACTGATTCATAGGGCAAGGCTGAAGAAAAAAGATAGAAAAAGCTAAAATGTTTCCATGTTTTTCCTCCCTCCAGATTAATTTCTGGCTGACTGGCTGACAAAAGACCAAACCTCTTTTCCTTGATGCCATTTTGTTTTTAAGTTCTCCACATATCCTTTCACTCTGGACTTTGTGAAGTTATTAGAATCTGGCAGAAGGAATGCTGAATCAGCTACAACCTTCTTGACTGAATTTGGCACTTTCTAGATCTGCATTCTCTAAGGAAGAAAGACAGAAATTAGCTTCTCTTTGTTAAACGTGAACAAGAAAAATATTGTGAGGGAGAAACTGGAGGACTGCTTCCAAAGAGATGAGAGATGTAGTTTCTTTGGGTTTTGAGGTATATACATAATGACCTCCCACTTTAGCAAGTCTCCTTGTTAAATCCTGATAGCTTACTACAAACTCACACAAATTTGCTGTAAACCAAACAGTACTAATGTAATTTCTGGTTTGGATCTCAAGGAACAAAAATGCTTTCAATGTTAAACAAAGAAATACAACAAGCTAAAGACAAAGAAAATGTATATTTAGAACCTTCACAGAAGAGAATATGTAAGGCACAGGGGGAAAGACTCTGTGCTGATTGCTGTTACTGCAAAATACCTTGGGTGTTCCAGAGACTAAATACAAGAAACTGTTGGGTATGCCATGGTAATTTTATGTAGATGCAATGGGAAGTTGAAATACCATAGGAGGAATCAGTTACAAGGACAACAGAAACTTTTTTTTTTTAAACAGCTCTTATCACTTGATCAGAAAAATGATTTTTATTTTTTTTTTTCTCTCCAGGGAGGGTAGACTAGCCATTATCTGTACCAAACTTATTTTGAATTGTAAAGAAGTGGTAGGGAAAATCCTGCAAAAATTCCACTAACTGCTGGCAGGCTGTTTTATATTAGTGATACGCAATCATGTTTATGGAAAATGTTTCAGTTCTTTTGGGTAGAAGCTAATATACCACTGGGAAAAAGTATTTTTGTAGCATGTGGAAGATAGGATTTAGCAGATCTTTTCTATATCTGATTTCTATAATCTGAGAGCTGAGAGAGAAAGAACATGACAACTTGTGTAATGTCTTACGTTTTTTCATAAGAAATTTGTGTGATGTCTTTTAAGTATTTCTGCAGTGTGAAATAATTATGCTAGGTTTTGCCATTGTTCTTCTATTCATATTGTTTTTGATTTCACTTATGACAGAGCTTATGGAAATACAATTGCAGCCATCTTCTTTCATAAATTGTAATCACTAGGGCTAATTAATGAGTTTAAACTGCATCTCGTTGCTGAGCATCTTCTACAAGCACAGTTGTGCCGACATAGAGACTAAAAAAGCAGCAGTTTTCAGCCCCTAAGGCACAGCACACTGCATCTGCAATAAAAAAGGTACATGACATATGGTCTACATGTTTAGTTAGTGTGGTTATCATAGGCTTTTCTTGAGATACCTGGCTGTTTTTCAAGTTTGTAATCCTTATTTTCAGGAAGGTTTTTTTGATTTGCCCTCTCTCTTCATGCCAGCCTGTATTTTAAGAGAAGTGTTGGGTACTGAACTATAAACAATGTTTTTGTCTCTATTTTGACAGAAGAGACATGTTTTCTTGGCATTAGATCGTGAAGAAATATTTATGTGTCTAATGATTCTTCCTGTCCCTCAGCTGTCTTTTGTCTCTGCTGTGGTTTGTACATCTACCAGAAAGAGGGTTTCTTTCCAGGGAACTTGGGGGGAGTTCTCCAAGCTGTTGTTGGTGAATTTGTTCCAAAACTAGAAGCCACTGACTAATGGCTATCATGGTTTGGGGAGGCCAAACTGTTATCTTTTCATTACAACGATGATGAATTACAAAGATGAATTTTCATTCATCTAGCCATACCAGCCCTGGTGGAACTGGGGATATTAAATATGGTACAACTTTTGGGGTTTGTAGACAAGTCCAGAGAAACATTGTGTTCAGTTGCTGTAGGTATTTATTGTCTTGATAATGGCCAAGGTGCCACAAAAAAATAAAAATGAATATTTGAAATCATGTATTAAATTCATATTAGTCCCTAGTGTTTAGTAATATGCGAATACACAATATACAAAGATATAGATAACCACATAGCATCTAACAAATGCACATGGCGTTTCCCTGCTAGGCTGCCTGGATTCTCTGCACCTGCAGGAGATGGACTTTTCTCTGGGCCAAACCCAGAAGAGGCATTTCTGCCCTGTGAAGGTTGAAGGATCCCTCTCATTTCACTCCTGAAGGTGTTGCTACCTAGTGAGCTGGAAGTTCTTAGATGTCAAAAAGGCACACATGGACAGCTGTGCTTGTTGATATATTTTTACCCCCCAAAAAATCTGTGTCTAAGCAAGGAGATACAAAAGACCAGTATGTTCTCCTCTTTCATTTATGCTCATGTCAAAAATGCTGGCCTCAGACACTGTCCTGGTACTTCCTTCTTTCATGTACATGTACATGCACACTCATGTACTTACTCCTTAGTACCAGGAGTAAGAGTAAGATAATTAAAAAGGTATGTTTCTTAGGATGAATCTTCTACTTGATGCATTCCTCAACTGCGCAGGGCTCAGCATGCTGCTGATGTGTTAAAGAAAAGGCCAAGAAGTTTCTGTTGATCAACTGAATTTGTGTTGAGTTTTCTGCTAGATACTTGGACTTCTTATTATTTCATGCAGAATAAGCTGGGAATAAGATTTACTGCTAAAAGGAGTTAGATGTGTTTAAGTAATGCATCTGGGATTGGTTTGTGAAATAAATTTCTTTATTCATATGTGAAGATGATAAAACTAGAGGCAGATCTCAGTCTTTTACAGTGCTTTTAAATAAACTTCAATCAAAAATCAAAAGCTTCTTTAAAGCTTGCCCTAAAAGTTTGTGTTTATTCGAATCAGAGACCATTAAATTGTAGCCTGACAGAGGTCATTTATTCCATCCCTTTGCTCTGAGGCAAGATCTTGCTTCACAAATGTTTGTTTGACCTGCCATTGAAAACTGCTACTGAGAGGGTTCCTACACACAACCTCTGCAGATAGTATTATGCTGATTAATTTGTATCCTACTCAGTGCAGGTATAGAAAACAACAAATTGCTATCTTTTTTTTTTTTTTTAAATTATTATTATTTATTATTATTATGTAAACCTTTCTCAATTTCTGAAGTTTTATCACTCTTTTTTCTGGCTTCATTTTAAGTTTTCTAGCTTCTCTTAAATTGTGGTAGATCAAATGAGAAGCTGTTCCCCAGCTTTGTGATTGTGATGCCTCATGCACATCTTAACAAATATGGTCATGAAAAGGAGCAAAGCTTTCCTGGAAATTTTATTTTTCATGATGAACATGGTTGAATTAGTCTGTTACATATACACAGAATCATAGAATGTTTTGGGTTGGAAGAGACCTTAAACATCATCCAGTTCCAATCCCCTGCCTTGGGCAGGTACACCTCCCACTAGACCAGGTTACTCAAAGCCCCATCCAACCTGGCCTTGAACACCTCCACGGATGGAGCATCCACAGCTTCTCTGGGCAATCCGTTCCAGTGCCTCATCACTCTCTGAGTAAAGAACTTCTACATTATATCTAATCTAAACCTACTGTCATTTAGTTTGAAGCCAGTACTTCTTGTCCTATCACTATACTCGTTTGTTAAGTCTCTCCCCAGCTTTCCTGTAGGCCCCCTTTAGGTACCGCAAGGCTTCCTTAAAGTCTCCATGGAGCCTTCTCTTCTCCAGGCTGAACAACCCCAACTCCATCAGTCTGTCGTCACAGGAGAGGTACTCCATCCCTTTGATCAAATTTGTGGCCCTCTTCTGGACTCACTCAGAAAACGGGTCTGTATCCTTTTTATATTGAGAGCCCCAGAGCTGAACTCAGTGCTCCCAATAGGGTATCACAAGAGCAGAGCAGAGTGGGAGACTCACCTCCCTTGCCCTGCTGGCTGTGCTGCCTTTGATGCAGTCCAGGACATGGTTGGCTTTCTGAGCTGCAAGTGCACATTGATGGATCATGTTGAGCTTCTCGTCAACCAGCACCCCCAGGTCCTTTTCCTCAGGGCTGCTCTCAGTCCGTTCTTTTCCCAGCCTGTATTTGTGCTTAGGATTGCCCTGGCCTAGGTGCAAGAGGACATACATTTGACTTTGCTGTCCTTCATGGCATTTTCTGATAAAGTGAATTTAAGAATATGGTTTTGATGGCTGGTATTTGACTGTATTCTAACACATGCAATGCACTGTTCTGGTGTTTTTAAGGAATGTGGGATGTTTGGCATTAAGAAAACTGTATGAAGCATACTGTGTGCACACACTAGCACCCTCACTGGGCACCAATACCACACAAACAACAGCACGTGGAGGTACAGCCTGCAGCCTGAGTAGCTCCTTTGCTGCTTCCTGCCACAACACTTGTGTGGAACCATTCTGCCGCTCCTGCGGAGGCCAGTGAAAATATTCACAGGGCAGCAACCGCTAAGGGAGCAAGGGCTTGCCTTGTCATAAAACATGTTGTCCCAGAGTTCCTGGAGTAGCACCCGGAAACAGCCCTAAAAACTGAACCATGGCTCCACAGGTCCTGCTTCTCACTAGCTTAGGAAACGGGCCTTTGATTTAGTAAGATTAAAAACTAAATGGAATAAGCAACTGGTTGTTGCTGGACTCGAGGGTGACCAAACCGGTCTGCCTGAAAGATGAACACAGAGATATTGCTGGAGAAGAAGAGTGCCAGAGAAAGTATAATGGTTTACATGGTGAGAAATGAGGTTGACTTTCACAGGAGTATGACCTGCAGCAAAGAAACCCACGTCTCCGTAGCAATGGGAAGAGACATGGTAAATTTGAAATAAGGGCTCCCTGCAAGGCTGCAGGCCCAACCGAGTCCTGGGTGGCCTGACCCTAGGCCTAGGGCAGCTCCTGCCCAGCATGGCAGCAGCCAGGTGCTGGCTTCCTTCCTTGCCTTGAGCTCTGCTCCTCTGGACTGTGCCACGTTAAGGCAGGGAAACCAGCACAAGTGCATGGTGATCTCTTGATTCTGTGGCTGAGTTTAAAAAATCGAGGGCAAATTTGGTTATAATACAGGCCAAAACAGTATTTTTTTTTTTGGGGGGGGGGGGGGGGGGGGGGAGGGGGAGGAAACACCTCAAAAACAACCCAGCAGCACTAAAACATAAAAGACTTGTTACAGAAAAAATCCAAATTCTACTTTTCTCTGAGAATCTGTGTTTCCTTTTTGCCCTTTTTGCATTAAAACTATTATCTGTATCCTTGATTTTAAAAAGTTAGACAACTTTGAAATGGAAAATACTGTTTTGACATCCATTTTTGGTGTCAATTTAGTGATCATTTTAGTTGCAATTTGTTGAGTATGTTTCTCCTAACTGTTATTTCTACAGCAGTGCACAGGCTTGGATACTGCTTGAATGTATTTTCACCTTTATCTACCGCTCCTTCCTTCTTCTCCCAGATCTTTAGTCAGAAACATTTAGGACTGTGCATTGTTTGGAAACTTCTCTCCACTTCTGTTTTTCAGAGTCTTGTCTTTCTGCTTGCCATAGTAGATCTGCTTAGTCACTTAATGGTTTTACGTTATCACCTTTCCCACCAGAACAAGGCTGTGAGAGGACTGATATGCGCATATTAGATAGCCACTTACATTTTTTCTGTTTTCTTTGTAAATTCTAGTATGCTGAAGACTACCCCACAAAGTTAAAAAATTCCAGTTGCCCATTGCTTGCAAGACATATGTAATGCTTGTAAGACATATGTAATGCTTGTGCTGCTAGAGAGTGATAACAGTCATGAGTGTGATACTGGAAAACAAAACAAAATAAGTAAAAACTTTTCAGAACTTGAGAAGAGGTCAAAAATGTTTTTGCTATAGATAATAACAGCCTCCTTCACCAAATTTCAACCTGTCAGAAATGCCAAATCACTGTCTTTGTTTTTGCTTAATAGTTACATAGGATAGGATCATCTCTGCAAAAGGTTTTGTTTCTACATTTCCCCACAATCTGGTACAAAAATGTCCTATTGTGCTTATAGATGTGGTATAGTAGGGAACATTGGTAGCTTGGTCTAGTATCTGTACAGCACTTTCACATTTTCTGTCAGCTTGCAGTTTTTGTTTTTGAGTACTGCAAATTTGCAGACTTATATAGACTGAAGTGGAAGCCTGTCAATCCTGAATGCCAGTTAAAATCTTGAATGTTTTTCTGTGCACAGGTGCAACCTTCCTCCACTATCCAGTGAATACAGCAAGGATGTTGGAACAAAAACCCAGCTGGTGACTGCAAATCCCAGTATAATTCAGAAAAGGTAGGGAGCATATTATTCTTTCTCTGGACTGGAGAAATCAAAAAGAAAAATGCTTCTTCTGTGTTATAGATATTAGTGTGCCAGAGTTGCATTCTTCTCATGGAAAAGGTTCTGGAAAAGATGAAATGCACATTGGGTTGTTGTTAGGTGAAATATAACAAGATCTTTTCACTGTAAGCATGGAAACTAAGGGAGAATGGCTTCCTGCAGAGTTATTTCTCCTACCATACTCCCCTCAGTGCTTGCAGCTCCCTACTTTTAACTGCATGGCTGGCTACATGCCAGAGGAGCTTTGGCTACTCATAGTCCAGGCACATATTAATGAGTGGTCCAAACTAGTATGCTGGTGGGGTCAGCTGGCTGCTGCATCCCATGGTTAATGAAGAGGCTAATGAAGGAGCCACTGATTACTTCTGTGTCCTTACTCTCTGCTATTTGATATTGAATTATGGGTACAAAAAATATTAGAATAGAACTGATCAGCAGGTTGTGATCATACAAGCTGTGCTTCTTAGGAGACTGGGATAAAATTTTGTTGATTATTTGAGTTGGTTGAAATTTTCCAAATGTCGGTAGCTGATGAGAGAGGGGAAGAGACAAGGGAAAAAAAAAAGTCGGTGCCATCTCTCTGATTTTGCCTTGCTGAATTTTAATTGCTATGTTACTTGTTTTATCACCTGTAATGAGATCTGGTAGTAGCCTGCCATGCTCCCTGAAAAACACAGAGAAAAGGCATAAACCGAGAGTGAGCAGGAAATGATTAGGCATAAGAGAACTGTATAATGGAGGTGCTGGGAGGTGAGAGATTGTGAAAGGAAGCAAAGTAGTGGAATAAAACAAATACTAGAAAGCCAGGTGTTTGAGAAAGAAAGGCACACAACAGACCTGGAATTTGATTTTTGTTGGTATCTAAATGTAGTATTCTTCCTCTGTCAGGAACTGAAGTGTTGTTTACTTTTGTGTGTGGAAAAGATGGGTTGTATGCCAGTCTTGGACATATGCCTTTTCTTGGAATGGAAAAGGCAGGGTGAGCAAGAGGGAAATAGAGAAGTTATCAACTTCAAGAGCTGATTCCAAGCAGAGAGTGTCTGAGCAGGGGAAGGCACAGAAAGGCTGTTGGGATAAGAAGAAAGCAAAACAAGCAGAATTGGCAGAGAATGGCACCACGTGCCAGGCAGGAAGAGGGAGCTGCTCAGGGCAGCGGGGCCTGAGGGTGGGGATTCTGAAAATCCTATGGAAAGTACACAGCTAATGATGTTGATTTAAAAAGTGGGTTGAAACGGACAGAGCATCAAATGGAAGAAAGAAGATTATCTTTGCAATAGCATCATGGGTAAAATGAAGAAGAGCAGTGGGAAGTACAGAGCTTGCAAAGGATTTTACAGTTGCCAATGCAGGGGATTATTAAACTCATGGACATTTTCTGTCCCTCACACACCTCACCAAGGCTTAAAGTGGAAAGCATACCATACTTAATATTTTTGAACAGAAAATGAAAAGGAAAAATATTTTTATTGATGTTAGAGGAAAAATATGGAACTACACTAGAGAGACTGTGGAGTTAACCAGCAAGGAGGAAAGGAAGGAATGAGTAGACGTGAAACAATACTCTGTGAGAGAGGGATATCAAAGGGGGAGTGGATGGGGAAGGAAAATGGAGAAAGTGAAAGTGAGGAAAGAAAAAGAGATCAGAAAATGGGATTGTTTCCAATGTCAGTTTTCAAAATGGATGATAACAGTGATGCAAGGCCTTCGAAGCCTTGTAAAAAGTACAGAAAGTAATCTGGGATGTATATGTGTGTGTATTGATTAGATAAGAAGATGTATAGACAACTACTGAGAATGAGATAAAGAACAAACCCACAGTGCTGAAAATTGGCAGAAACCTCCTCAGGCTTGAAGCTCTTGAGAGATCTGACACTTCCTCTGCCTGTTCAGAAAGAGTTTTTTTTTTTTTTCTTTTTTTTTTTCTTTTTAAATTATATTTGACTAATCTTTCTTGTAAACTTATTATTTTGCCTTCTGCATCTTAAGTTAGAATTTGATAAATGGTGCAAGCTTGGAAGTTAAAACACAAGAAAGACTACTATGCTCAAAAAATAATCAATTTCTATGGAAAGAAGCTTTTTAAGGAACTAAGACTGCTTGTAAGTCCAGACTTTCATGATATTCAAGGACTTTCAGACTGGTGACTGATATGTATCTGTTTCTAAGCTGTAAGTTAACTAGCTTCACATAATGGTATTATTCATTATCATTCTTCCACTGTCCTCTTGTCCTTACTTTGAGTAGGTTGATATTGATGAGGCTTGACATCTCAATTATCTCTCAAGTGTGTTATGGCAGATTTAGTGAATTGGTCCTGCAACACCATTCGTTGCTTCTAAAAGATTTAACATTGCTAGATAATTTATGATTAGGCATGTTGGATAGGGCAAATTTTTCATACCAGGGATGTGGAGGCAGTTTTCTCTGTTGTTTTAAAATCAAAAGGATTACCTATAGGAAACTAAATTGTTGCCAGTAATTATTGCTCAGTGATATCTGAGCTACCACTGTTCCCTCCAGCTTAGAGCCATAGGATGGGACAGTAAAAACTTTAGTCTGGGAGTACATCGACTTTAGTTATACTTTCTAAATGCTGCCTTTTGCAAAACTTGAAGTTGGCAAATAATAATAACAGACATAGAGATCGAGTTCCTACTTGGTTTTAAGCAGGAAATATAACTGTGCAAGTAGTACAGTTTTACGTGTAAAATATGGTGCTCAGTTCTAACTTGGATTTTAAAAACTCTGAGGAATTTCCTACCCTAACTTTGCTTCATATTATACGTGAGCACTGACAATAGAATTATCATAGAAATTTCCTTAGCTGACTAAAGGACTCATGATGACTGCCCTAATTTCTTTTTTTATCTAAAATGTGTCACAGGCATCTCCCTTCAGTTAGTGCTTTGAGCTTGTGTAAAGCTTCTGTTTTCACTTTACAGTCAAAATTTACTTCCCTGTCAAAGCCTGGATTGAGGTTGTAATTGGGACTGAAATGTTGTGAAAAGCTACTTCTGGGATCACCACAACGTTCTCCCCTCAATCTCTCCTTCTCTCCCCCTGCCCATACCTTAATCAAATACAGGACTGTAAAGGGGTTGATGTTTCCGATTTTCCTTGATATTTCCAGTTCATTCCCCTACCTCCCTAGTCAGCTATGAGTAGTGGCTGCATATCACTGCTAGGAAGAAGGCAGTGCAGTAGTGAGACCTGTGATGTGCATGTGGCTGTTTTTAGGCTGCATGAAAAAATGAACAAAGTAACGGTATTTACAGTGATGGTTTTATGTATTCTGAAAACTTGCCTACAAGTGTGGAGTGGGACTAGTTAGAAGATCACATGTGAACATAAAAATGCTTATGTAGATAGTGGCGATTTTTGATCAGTGGTAGAAGATTTTGACTAAGTGATACAAAGGGTTACTGTTAAGGATGTAGATATTACATGTTTCTGAAGTCACTGTTTTAGGGCTATTTAGGAGAAGCAAATTCTAGCTTTCTTATCATATTCAACATCTTTGGCAAATGTCCTCTAAAAATACCCTTACATTTTGTCTAACGTTTCAATTAAATCTGCAAACAAATGCTGTTTGCAGCAGTCTTCCTAGTTTCTAGTTGCTAGCCTTCCTACTCTGTCTAACCTATGCAGACATATATCATCATTAATGTGGATATAGCTGTCTAAATAGATGTTTTCCCAGCATTCACTGAGTTTCAGATCTACTGATGTCTGTTGGTGAGTATTTTATCCACAAGCTGTGTGTGTTCCTGACCTGTGTAGTAATAATCTTATTAGCAAATGGCAAATTAACATAGTAACATGATTTACGATAATTCAGCATTGTTATAACTAACAGAAGTCCCTGAGTTACGTAACACACTTACTGACACTGTCTTTGGGACATAATACAAAAACCAATTGGATTGTGTGAGGCTTTTCTCCCTTGTCCTTTCAAGGTTTTGTGTTTTATAAGCATCGACGGTGCTTGAAGGAGCACACTTTGCACTCATGAGAGCACAGACAGCCATGCAGCTGCTCTGTGGGCTGATGCTGTTGTCAGCTTGAGCAGCAGATTGTGAAAGGGGACTTGGAGTCATTGCCCTTGTAACCCCCTCTGCATGACGAGTGATTAGATCTGCTCCTTTTCCTGGAGAAGACCCTCCCTACCTCCTGCCGGCCTCAGCCCACCATGATGGATAGCGGTATGTGGTAGGAGAATAGTGGGGATTAATGCTGCTGGTCTTGTAAGAGAAGACAGCCCTTCTGTTGAAAGGAAGAGACAAGGTGCCCTTCCGTACCTCCAGCTTCTCTGTGGCTGGCTCAGTGCTGTGGTCCCAGGTGTGGGAGCTTGGTGCGTGCAGAGGCTGCAGGGCTGGGCTCTGAGGCAGCACTGTGCTGTCCCTGTTTGATAACCTCTCACTTCATTGAGAATAGTCACTTGGATGAGGACTGGGTAATATCTGTATGTGTTCAGGGCTTTGGAGTCACCATAATTAGATTTGTTATGAACATTTCTGTGAAATACCTGCACTGTCTGCTGTCAGAGAGGGGGTGTAGGCGATCCATATGTCTACTACTGCAGCGTGTCTTGTTGCTTTGAATACAGAACACACTGAAGAATTAGCTGAGGTGGTATTGACCTTCACTGTTTGAAATGTGGATGTTTTTATTTAAGTCTTTATAGTGGAGTCTCTCAATAGTTGTATAACATTGCTAATGGAAATAGTCTGACTGAAACTTTAAGAACTAGCTTTACGGTCACCCATCACTCTTGGCAGCTTGGTATGAACTTCTATTCACTGGGTGTGAATATTTTTTTTTTTCAGTAAATTAAATCACTTTTTTCATCTCTGATATTTGACAATTTTTTTCTGCCTCCATTTCCTGCACTGAAGCAAGATGAAGGAATGAGACTAATGGCTAACAAATGCAATGATTCTGCCTTGAAGCTT